CGCGCAATATGTGCCCTAGTGAAAAAAATCTCACGGACATGATCCCCAGCTACCTCTCCCCAATAAGCATACAACCGATCTAAGTACGAAATTCGTAAATCGCCGGCACCATGAAACTCACTGGCCAAAGTCCTAGCACCAAAAACCGCCTCACAAACGGTCGACCAATCCTTAGATATAGATCTAGTAATGACTTGCTTGTCAGTAGGCAAACTCAATATACCCACTATATCCTGCAAGATGATAGTTATCTCACCCTGTGTCATATGAAAGATATGTGTCTCGTGTTTCTACCTCTCGACCAAAGCACTAATCGGGGCAACATCAATACAATTATCACATCACATGTCATTAATTTAAAATGATTAAATTGAATAAAAATATAATATATTACATTATAAAGTGCATACCTGAATATGTCGCATGTGTGCAACATGTATAAATCGTGCCTACGTGAGGTAATCAGCAACCACATCCGGAATATCGTTGGGAGGTGCCCCCTGCATCTTACCGCGTCGGGTCTTCAGCTGACGAACATGCTCAGTATTTCACACGCTGTGTGAAATATGTGCACTCTGCGTCCTCTTACGGAGGACCTCCCACCTATACAAACTATACATACTGAGATCGGTAGGCTCTGGCTCATGATCGGATGCAGATTCCCCGGATGATGATGAATCAGCCATGATAAAATACTATAAAAAAATTAAATTTATTGTTACCATTAATCTATATTCAAATTATATATACTTGTGTAATACAACATTAAAAATAATTTAATTTACTACTATTTACAATATTTTAAATTAATATATATTTAAAAATTATGTACACACCACCACGTACAAGATTATCGTCCAAATGAAATTATAATATATGATAATTTCAATTACTAGTTCTAGGTCACTATTCATTACCTAAGTCACTATCAATTTTATGAAGCATACAAAAAATTTCAAGCAACTACCAAATTCCTAAGTCACTAATCCATTTGTATGTCAATAATATTAATTCCTAAGTCACTACAAAATTCCTACGTCACTTGATATTTCTAGGTCACAAATAGTTTCCTAAGTCACTAATAAATTCCTAAATCACTAACATATTCCTAATCTATTACTATAATTTAAACATATAGAAAGCATGTATTAAAAACTTACATTTAGGACAGAGCTTCGCTAACTAATTTTCCACGGAAGGGAGAGCAACAACGTATTAGAGAGAAGTTAGAGAGAAAGTAAAATAATAAAAGTGAAAAATATGAGGGTATTTATAGACTGCAGTGTATCACACCTGATTTGGGCGTCACTGGTCATGCCTATATTGGGCATGACCCACATGTAAGTGACGCCTCCTTTGGGCGTGACATGTGACGCCCAATCAGAGTGTGACATACTGTAATACATGCATAAATATTTTGAAAAAAATAATAAATTTGTAATTTTTTGTTTAAATTACAATAAATTAATTTTTTTTGCCCAAAATAATAATGGAAGCTAAATATATACATGATGACAGAAAGAAAGAGGGTCTAATTATTCTAATTCATATTATTTTCATAAAAAAGTGATTCTCTTTGATTATTTTAATAAAATTTTTATCTAATTCATATTATTTTATATTAAAATAAATGATTATTTTTAAACAAATGAATCGAACGATAAAAAAACTAATTTTAAAACAGTTTTCTTAGAATTTGTATTTTTTTAATTTGTTAAGCTAGAAAAATAATTTAAATTAGTGTATAGTAATATAATAAAATTTATATTAGTTATATAATAAATATAATAATAGAAACAGTGAAACTAATAAATTAAGAGGGCGTTTGGTAGATGATAATTTTTTTTTTTATCTGGGACTCATGATTTCTGGAAATATAGTTGAAAAATAACTTTTTCCGAAAATGTTAGAAAAAATGTGTTTGGTAGGCAGAAATATTGATGAGAATATTTGTAGAATTTTAATATTGTTATGTTTGGTTGATAGTAAAATTTTGGTGAAATTTTGGATAGAATTTACAAATATACCCTCATTTTTATATATTAATCCATTTTTTTACAATGCAAGTACAAGTCACAGGGTCAATTTTGTCAATGGTTTCACGGTTAATTTTTGGTTTCCCCGGGAAACACACAAATCCATCTGATCCGAGGAATTTTTTTGTTGGGATCCTAAAAAAATTTACGTTGATTTTGAAATCCTAACATTTCAACTTCTCTGGGATTATCTCACATTTTTAGTTTACCAAACGTTGCATTTCAGTTTACCAAGCCTAAGAAGCCAAGGAAACCATAAAGAATTCGCCTAACAAACAGGCCCTAAAGGGGTGTTTGGTTCATGTTAAATTTTTTTTTACTAGGAAAATGTAATTGCTAGGGATCTGCGGGGAAGGTGAGTTAGGTAGGAAAATTTTAAAAATGTTGTTTGTTGGACAAAATTTTACCAGGAAAATTGAATGAAAATCCTGAAAGTGTGTTTGGTTGAAAATAAAATATTGATGGAAAAAGTTATTGAAATTACGAAATTATTCTTTTAAAAATAACCCTCTATTAAAACCAATTGTCCCAACGACAATAAAAATTATCTCTGTCTTTGTCTTCCTTTTTCGTCTTAGTCTGTCTTCCTTTTTGGTTATGTAAATGTACCTTCGAACAATGAAGAGCAACTACCAAGAGCTGTGCCCAATCAACCAGTGTTAGTATACTTAGCACTTATTTAACCGTATGACGATCACTTTCATTTTACTTCATAACGACACTCTTAAGGTGGACATCATTGCCCTCAAAAACAACAATCGCATCAAAACCCAGATAGGAATCAATCCCTTTTCCACTTTCCCACTCTGAAAAATTGAACCTTTGCTTGGAAAAACACACCCACAAAGCAGAATTCAGAGAAAAAACACAATTGGGTATTCAAAAAATGGGGTTCAAAACACAGAGAAAAGGTGATAAAGAAGAAGAAGACAAACAGAAGAGGATCTGATGAGAAAAAGTGAAACCCAGAAAGATGGAGATCGAGAGAACCCAATTGATGATTGAAAATGATTCATGAACATGATGAAAATGATGAAACTGATCCATACCAAGGAGGCATATTTAAAGGAAGTTGCCCAACTAAGCTCGACGGTGAAACTGATATCCATGCGGTTACTGTTTTTGGCTATGGGCAGAGCAAATAACATGATAAACTTGATACCAAGCTCGATGGTGAAACTGATACCAAGGGGTAATGTGGTCACCGTTTTGTACCTCGATAAACTTATCCGGATTTCAATACAAATACCACCTTTCAAAGTGCATTCTGGAACAGTATTTTTCAGACAAATAACATGCAATACTGGATAGATAGGCAATTGACATTGATGGGTAAATTTCATCAAATCCATGAACCAAACGTGGACAATCACAAAGCCAGAATCACTTTGATGGGAAACTCAGCAAAACACCTGAACCAAACACCCCCTAAGGGTTTAATGTTTAGGAGATAAAATTATCTCTTATACATACATAACAATATGTGAAATTTATTTTTTTATCTATTTTCTCTTCACGTAATCCCACATATTTTTATGTGTGTAGAATATAATTTTATCTTTTATAATATGACAAATATTAAACCTATAAATTAAACCTCATAGATTGAAAAAAAACATGTCACGTTGTAGGTCAATAACATATGCTAAACCTCATAGGTTAAAAAATATATAATAAAAACATGTCAAAAAATATTAATTTTAAAAAATCACATAAATTAATATAATTGATAAATGGTTATTTTCATGGTAATTTGCAAATATTTCATTATATGTAACGTGGATTGAAATTTTTTTTAGCATCTCCTTTAAATCAATAACTAATATATATATATATATATATATATATATATATATATATATATATATATATATATATGAGGTAGGATCATTTGACATCGGTGTCAAATTTGAAATTTGACACCTCATCTAGATCAAAAAAGATTAATTGTGTCATATGCTTACAAATCAGAGTCGTTGATTTTTTTTTATTAAACGGCTCTCAGATGAGGTGTCAAATTTAAAATTTGACACCGGTATCAAAAAATCTTAACTCTATAGAGAGAGATTATCTCTAATACTAAGAATAAGGACTGAAATTTATTATGTAAGAATAAATAATTGAACTAGTCCCAAAGAATGTCCCAATTTCCAACGTAAGTTTGGTCATCCATTAGATAACAGAAAATCCATCTTCTAAATAAAATAACTGGTACATAAGTTTTTGTTTAATGATGTTTATCTATTCCCAGGTGTTTAATGATATATATCAAGAATTAGCGTATCAAGAAAGTTGTAGATATGTAAGAAAGAAACCGTTTTGACTAATGTGTTATGACAAGAAAAAGACTCAAATTCCTGTTTATTCATATAAAAAAAAATGAAAAATAGATATTTATGGAATCAACCATAGATATTCTATTAGAATGAAAATGGGCTACGGACATGAAGGGAGAAATTTTCCTAAAGAGTTTTGTTTCCTTAACCAGGTATGGCCCAGATAACAGGTTATATTGTTCTCACAAAATTTTATGGGTACTATTTGTACTCTTACATACATTGACTTGCCTAAACTTTAATCAAACCCTTCAGAATTTCTGCATACCACCAAAACTCAATTCTCCGATATAGCTGTCATGTGATTCATGACTCATGTTAGGCATGGAAAAATGAGAAACCAGCCATGTGATCAAAGATAAATAATGACAGGAAGGGGCAAATATACTAGATGTGACAAAGCTCCGGGCCGGGGAGGCTTCAGACCATGTGGTAGGAAAGAAGAGCCAACAAAAGACCAATAAATTTTGATGAAATAATTGCAACAAGCACCGAAACACTATAACAAGTATTCAAGATCTGGCATATCATTTCCCTTTTCGGCTGGTTGCACATTTTCCAGGTTAATGCTGAAAAATCAATGCGTAGACCCTAGAGTCTAAAGATCCCCACAAATATCTCTGACTAGTCATTGCATCGTTGCTATTACATATCCCCAAAACTGTAATACAAACAGTAAATTTCTCTCCTTCATATTTAAAAAAAAAATAGCCACGAGTACACCATGAAACATCACCCAAGTTCATTACAGAGACATTGAATTTCAACCCCATAACAAAAGAGGACATATACAAAGTTAAGAGTACAGAGTACAGGAAACCTGTTTAATCATCAAACATAAAAAATTGTAAAACTGAAACCGCAAATTGCAATGAGATAGAAATGATCCTGGGAGGTGAACTAAAATGACTGCCTCTGTATCACATCAATTAGAGCATATAAATCCTTCCCGTGTTAGAACCAAATTTATTTTTTCATGTTCCTGCTAGTCAGAACCATCTGGGAAATGATCCAATGCATATTGTTTCCCATTGATATAGAAATCAACCACTGCCTTCATCCTTGCAAATTTATCAGGATGGTAGTTAACATGCACAATCACTGGCTTCAACTTCTTAAGTTTAGCATCTTTTCTGACAGTCTTAAATAGAACCTTACTGTTCATAAAAAGGAACATATCCATTGTTCTCTTGGCAGCATGGAGACCATCATAACCAGGATGTGAAGGGAAAAAGAGCTCTTCATTAAAAACAGCCTGGTCCCACGAAGTACTTTCTCTAGAAAGCCTGCCAGCAACACGATCCAAGAGCTCAATTGAAGGAATAGTAGGCCTTATGTAAAAGAAGCCAGAGTTATAAACCCATATTCTCATTGTATGAGCATATCTAGCCCAACCCATTTTAGGTTCATCAAAGACATCATTAAACCCATAAGCTGTCCTATTACAATGACCATCAGACATTGACTCCACATCTGAATCCCTATAAAGATAATCAAAAGGGTTCTGCAAATACACAATATCAACATCCGAAAGAAGAACACTATAACCCAGTTGCAGAAACTCTCTCAGAACACGAAATTTCAATCCTGAAACAGCATGGTTACCGCCTTTCTTAGCTATTGAATCAACATCCTGATCCGGATCTCTTCTATAAACAGGAACATCATTTGATTTGCAGAATTCCTCAATGGTGTCATCCAATGCAACCACCAAATAATTAGGTATGCCAACCTTCTTAATGTTGGTGAACCAGAGTTGCAACATCTCCTTAACATTAGAGTTAGCAAGTACAACAACAAGTTCTTTATAAATAGCAACTTCTTCCAAGATCTTAGCCAATCTGGGGTTCACAGATTCATCAGGAAGCACAGTTGGATTGGTTCTGAGACCCTTAACAGTGCCAAAAGGCCCAGCTTTATGCTTCTCACCCAACACAACAACTTGTTCATGTGCATGACCCTTTACTTGCTCAGCCAAACGAAGCTTTTCCATTAGAACTTTAACCTGTTTCTTCAATTCAGAATTTCTCTCTTTCGCAGACAGAATATCCACTTTCAGCGCATTAACTTGTTCCCCAGATTCGCACGCAGATAAAACCATCTAACACAATCAATAAGAACCCATCCAAATCAAACATATAAATTAAAGGTAAAGGATTTATCGACATAAGTTATTTACGGCCCAAAAACGATGTCATTTTGGAACGAAAAGCATGTGTTTTTTGTAATTCTAAATACATTACATGATTATATTAGTCTTTATCGTTATAATTTTTTAGGGAAAAATGTTTATCATTTTAAATGACATAATTTTGTGTTATTTTTAATGAAACTACGTCGTTTTGGTGTGTTTTCACGTTCTCTCTCCTCCGTTTTCTTTTTATTTCTAGTTTTATAAATTAAAAAAAATGGCAAAACACACAAACGAAGTAGTTTCGTTAAAAAATGACACAAATTATGTCATTTAAAACGAGAAAGACTAAACTCAATTTTTTAATCTTATAAACGTGGCCGGAGATAAATACTTTTCTCATAAATTAAATAAAATTCCTAAACAAAATTAATGCACCAATTAGGGGAAATGAAAAAAAAAAAACCTTAGGGTTTCGAATGGGAGAAGAAGTGGAAGATGAGGTGAAGAAGCCATTGGGTAACAAGAAGGCGAAGACGCAGCCGATAAGAACGCCGATCGCCACCGCAACAAAGATTCGAGATCCAACGGCTGATTGTCCTTTTTCTCTGGTCAGCAACGCGTCTCTACGACCCGCCATGCTGACTATCAGTAGCGGATCAAATTTGAAACCCCAAACGAGATTGAGAATTTGAGATTGAGATTTCAAACTCACATCACAAGCACTGTATAGTGGTTTACTTTACTCCAGTCGACAAGTGAAGTGAGTAAAGTCTTTCTTTACTCCAGATTGAGATTAAGTCGTCACTCCTTGCTAATGGAATCTAATGCTTTAAATAAATAACGCCGAATATTATATATTCTTTTTTTCTTTTTGGAAACAATATTATATATTCGAAGGAAACAGCAACCGCCAACATTACATAATAACAACAACTAACGTCTAACAACACCACTCAATACCCCATTTGGAATTTAAATAATTAAATGTATGTCTCCTGTTTGTCACTTTTTTTTTTTTTTTGAGTTTTATATATGTTATGTTGTAGGACATTTTTAGTGTCACGTTACTCTAATACTTTTGATGTGGGTCTCATTCAAAAAGAAAAAAAAAAACAAGGCGGGTCTCGTTTGTTATGTAAGAGTAACATGACACTAAGAATGTCATGCAACATGATATGTATAAAATCTTTTTTTTATAACTAAAAGTTTCTTTTAAATAAAATTTTAAAAAATAAAATAAAAGTTATTTAATAATTTTATAAAAATTTTAGCTTAATTTTTTTAAAAAAATTCAAATTAAAAATAAGCTAATATAACTTAAAAAAAGTTACTCCCAAGAACTTTTGATTTTTGACTATTTTTTCGATATAAAAAAACTCTTTATTACAAAAAATTTGTGTTGGCTTAATTTCTGTTTAGAGAAAATAGAGAAATTAAAAAAAAAAACTTTCAAACAGACGACCCCCAGAAATGTCTTCTGGTCATGGCTAAAATGATGTTACTTAAAATAAAAGAAGGGAAATATATTTTTGCTATCACTATAATTTTTTTTTTCTGCAACAACACATAATAATGCCAGGATATGTCGGTAGATCCTAACTTAAAAAATAAAATAAGTAAATCCCATTTTTTTTTATATTTGCTACACTGGAAAAAGTTCTGCAATAGCAGCAGAAGAAAATCAAATCCAAAAAATAATTATATTTATTTTGTTTAGTTGTCTTGTCTCTTTCCTAGTTTGCGATGTTCTTTTTATTTAATTGGTAATATTTATTAGACGATTTCGATATCCTTTTGTTGTATGAAAATAGTTTTTTATTTTTAATCAATGATTATACTATATAGTACGTACCTTTTTTTGGTGGTTATATAGTGTACCGTAGGGATTTATAAGTCCACTATGTTCTCTTCAGGGATGAGTCATTGTATGGATAATACCCTTAACACAGGTACAGACCAAGCTAAGAGGTACTTTGCCCAGTAAGCAAGCAATCAACAATAGATAAGTAAACGATAATATGACTCAAAGTAAATGGGCAGAATAACGATACATAAGATACCTTCATGGTGTGCCCAAGGGGGCTATTTATAGGGAAAACAGTGTAGGTTGGTTAGGAGGGGGTCAACCCTCCTTGGGATTCACTCCCATGGTGGCAGTGTTTGGCGTGGCAGGCGCTGTTGTTGTAGCAGTGCTGCGCCTTCTGTGCCTGGCGATGTCAGCGTCGGGCAAAGGGGCAATTTTCCTTTAAGGTGCCTGTGACAGTCGCCTTTGCGGGTTAAGGTCCCAAGATGGGACATTTTGGTGCTTCCCCTTGGACGCGTCGCAGTATTGGGGGATGAAAGGGTCCACGTCAGCCCTTAAGGCTGATGTGGGTTGGAGCCTGGAGTTGGGCCTGAGCCATTGGGCCGCTTAGTAGTTGGCCATCCGGAACATGAGCCCCCCAGCTTGGTAGTAAGCGTAGGTTGGTGCCAAGTTACAGTCTTTGGGCGACCCTTGGCTGGTGTCGCCAAGGTAAAGGATTTGGGCGTCACCTGACTGGTGTAGGAGTAGTATCCAACCTCTTACGTCTTGTAAGGGGTATTTTGGGTCTTTTGCCTTTCTGACACGAAGGGTGTCTCTTCAAATTTCGAGGAGTCGCAATGATGGCTTCTCCCATCATTGCAAGCAATTGCAGAACTCAAACGTTACGAGGCACAGCGCATTAATGCGACGTGTCGTCCCGAGGCACGGCGCAGTAATGCGACGTGAAGGGCGTCTTATTCCCTTGAAATTACCATCAAGCCCTTCACCGCAACCGCTTATCACCTGATGGTTATGATATCCTACGGTCAAAAAAAGGGGGAGGCTGTACATGTGTACGCCATCTTGATCTCCTCCCTCCTTTAAAAAGGAGGTTCATTCCCTCCAGAGGGCTTTCTTCACGCTATCTACTGCTCTTCCTGTTTCTGCACATTGCATTGTGTTTTTCCCTCTTTGCTATAGTGCTCGTGTCGGTCCTACTTTCTTCACTGTCTGCATTATCTCAGGTACAGCGTTTCACTCTTGTTGCTTTGATGTTCCTTTGCACTTCTTTTTGCTTCGCTTCTCTTCTTCTTTTTCTGGGAATGGTTAAAATGACGGATGTAAGAACCCGCACCGTTAATTAAAGAATTTAATTAATAAATTATGAGAAAATAGGAAATGATTCCATAATTAACCCTAATAATTATTATGAGGCTTTAATAATTATAGTAAGCGAGTAATAATGCTGAAAGTCGCTTTTTGGAAGAAAAGTACAGATACCGGTTCTGCTAGTCGGTATAAATGCGTGCCCAAAAAGTATCCCGGAAAATTATAATAAGTGCATGATAATTACTAGAATTATATGTAGGACTTGTAAAACGAGTTTCAAGTCCAAATAATGAGAACTGGTGCTAGAAACCGGTACTGGCTTTGAAAAGCGCGTACCGGAAAGGTGCTCAGAAAATTATAAGAAAAATATGATAATTCTTGGAAAAATGTGTAGTTTCACATTCCAAAGTTTGGGATTAAAATGCTAAGCGTAGCAATTAAAGTTAATATTATGTGTTTAATTGTTAAACCACTATATATAGCCTTATGATTGGCACATAACCCTAGGACCTCAATTTTTGTGCGTGAGAGTGGCTGACCTGAACCTTGAAACACTGTTCCATAGGCTTCTCTTCTCCTTTCTTGAGGCTTGAAGTCATTTTCTTCACACTTTCTTCTTGTAGACACCTTGAGTGAGTGGGAAACACTATGGTGAGTGTGTTGGGAACATCATTATGAGTTTTTACCTCTGTTGGAGGGTCCTTGTTTGCTGACTTTGGGGGTTGAGAGTGTTGAGCCATTGTGGTGGCATTTTGGAGCTCAAAGGAGCTTCCTTGTGGTGTAAAAGAACCACCTTTGTGCACTATTTTCGTGTACAGTGAGAGACAGAACCTTGGAGCTGTTGTGTGAGCTCCAAGAGCACCCTTTTTCTGAGTTTGAGCTTGGTAAGCTTCACTACCTTTGATCTTGAGTTTTTGAGCTTAAAAATGGAACCTAAATGCATGTAAAGGTTAAAAGATGATAACTTAATGTTGGGGTTGGTCAAACACACCTAGAAATGCATGTTTAGGTGTTTAAAATCGATAAAAACCCAACCTTGAAAGGATATCTTCACGAAATGCAGTTTCTGCATTCTGTCGTGAAATATCCGGATATCTGCCCGAAAAATATCCGGATATGTGATATCCGGATATGGGATTTGGACATCTAGATATTAGATATCCGGATATGGGATTCTAGATATCCGTATATTGCATATCCGGATATGTCCAGTGAGATATCCGGATATTGCATATCCGGATATGGTCCCGAGGAATATCCGGATATTCTGGGATTTCGTAGAACAGTAGCTGCGTTGTGTGTACAGTAGGCTATTGGGGGTTTGTGGACCCTAGATTGATGAAGTTGAACTTCTGTAATTAATGAATTAAGTCAGAATCAAGTGATTAAGGACTTATGGCTTGGTATGGAGCCTGAAGACGTAAAACGTAAGGAAAGGCGTTGTCTTTAAGTTATATGCTTGTGTTGCATTTTTATTGATGTAGTATTGGTCCATAACAGATTGTGAATCTGCTGTGTTTCGAATTTGACTTGTGGACTCTTGGCCTTGGGTGTTAGCTTGCAAGGTAAGCTTTCGTGTCCTCGGTTTAGCCATGTTGTGGTTCCACCATGTCCCTTGGGGGTGTGGTTGTATGCATGCTGTGTTACATGCTTTGAATATTTGAAATGCTGTTGAGCTTTATGTGTAATGGCTTTTAATATGCATGTGTTGTTCCATCTTGACGGTAAACCTGAGTATGTAGCGTCATACAAGACGGTGATCCGGGGTGGATGCAAGTAGCGTCTTGCACTAGTGTGGGTATTTGGCGTATGTAAATCCTGCATTTCTATGGCCAGTAGAATAGTATTGACACACAGGACATGATTATTTGCTGCATTGCACTATTTTAGAACTGATGATGATATCTGCTTTTAAACTTATATTGCACATGTAAGTGAGCTTGGGGTGGAAGATCTTTGAGGACCCCTTGTCTTACTGAGATTTCTTGTTTAGAGATCTCACCCCACGTTTGGGAAATGATTATTTCAGGTTCCGATAGTTTGGTGACTGATGCCTCTGGCGGCAGGAGGCCAGAGCTTAGTTGATGATATTATGCTGTTTTGCTGCTATGACTGAATATGGATGCTGTTTATGGTTTCCGTTATTTATGTCTATGTTGTTGTTGAGACTGATGTTGGGCGTGTTGCCTTATTTGAGTGAGCATGGGGATTGTCCATGACACTTTATGTTAGTACTTTAGATTGGAGTTGTATAAACTGCTAGATGGTCCGGTCTGCGTTGTTGTAGTTCCGTGACTAGAGCCACACTTTTTTATCTATGTTATGAGGTATATTCAGATAGCTGTTTTATTGCAATTACATACAGGCTTTGTTTTATTAATTGATTAATAAGCAAGTTGGTAATGATAATGACATCATAAGTGAAAAGAAAAAGATATTCCGCATTTTTATTAAGCGCTGCTAAATACGATAGTATGATAACATTGCTGGATATATACGGGGTGTTACAACGGACGTGCCTGGGTTGTTCTTACCGGAGTTGGAGGCTGAGGTTAAGGAGGAAGAATTTGATGAAGCCTTCGACACACTCGAAGGCTGTACGGTGGGGCCAACTATGCATGAGTATCTTGCTAAGCGTGGTGGGGAAAGCAGCAGCTTTCCCTCCTATCGTTCTTTAGTTCCCGGGGTTGAGTCATTAC